TTTGGATTTGTTGTCAAAGTCCAACCAGTGTAAACTTGTGCCCTCTGCGCGATACGAAACCAGCCGGTGCAGAATGCGAGAAAGCCTTTGGGGAAGATCCACGATGATACCTTGCACTGCGATGGTGAACACCTTCTCGCTGGCTATCTCCAAAGGGTCTGCCAGCTCTGAAGTTGCATCAATAACCACCAAAGGAGATATCAAGATCTCAAGAATTACAAAGGCCAAAAACACGACGATGGCTGCACCCGTCAGCAAGTATGCTAACTCGCGCTTCTCGCGCGGCAGCAAATGGCACACATCAGACTCTCCATCGGACCAAGCATTGTAGATTTCGCACTTGCGACAAGTGCCACTCTGAAAGTATGTGTGGAGGTCACCTCAGCTGCTCTGATGCAAGAGGGTCCCCACAAAAACGAAACCTCAATAGTCTCGAGTTTCAACTACATCATGCAAACATCACAACACCCATAAGCAGTATACTGTACATGTCAATTGGCCACTTGCAGGTGAGTCACAGAACCGGCAGATTTCGAAGACGTCTTGCACCGACACAAATTCCTGGTCACGGAAGTGCTCCTTTGTAATCCTTAGACCGGTCTAAAGGCAAGCCGCATTCATCGAACATGCAGAAGTTGCAAGTCACAACTGAAGAGTGTTATCATGCTCCAGGGCAGGCTTTGAAACATCATCAACTGATTTAAATGGCCCAAATTGAACGAATTTGGACTTAAAGCAAAGCATCTGGTAGTTGGGACAAGCACAACGCGACGTGAAGCCCTTGGACCTCGGCTCCAGTTCGATCGGTCCACTTCGATAACTGGAAACAGTCAGCGTCCCTGGCATTGCAACCGCTTTGAGATGTGAAACATGTACGACATTTCTTGTGCCCATCGTTAGAAGGCTTGCAAAGGGGTTCTGACTCATCCTCCCAACTGATTCATTTCGGTTTGACTCATTCATGTGCGACTGTGCGACGTCCAACCTGAAACACGACTGGCATGAGTGACGACTCGCAAGAAAGGACACCAACACCACAGGAAGCGGCCAAAACATTAGATCTTGTCAGCACCAAGTAACACCGTGACTTGGCTAGGGCACTGCAGCTTCATTGGGCTCACGGCTGCAAGCCGCGTGCCGTTGCTGGCATTCAAGGTGACACCCTGCGCACAATCTGGACAGGTAGCGACCAAAGAGTTGACGGTGAAGCCATCCTGCAGGGTCACGCGGGCTCCCAACCTCGATGTGTCTGGGGATGAATCGGTAGACCCTGGCCAGCGGGAAGGATTCTTGAGTAAATCGGTAGATCAGCCGGATCTAATCCAGCCAGAAACAACAGTGACTAATTAGGTAGGAGTGCGAATCTATTGATGCCCTTGAGTCGCTAATGCCTCCAACGCTTGGGGGCAGTGGAGATTTCTAGATTTTTGGAGCAACATCTGCTGGAGCAACAGCAACAACAAACAACAACAACAGTTCATGTTCATCTACATATTGAAACACGCAAATATTGCTAATAGCAAGTCAGAATGGTGCCATTGGTAGGTTTCCCTCCTGAGAGCTAGCCTACGACCTTCAACGACTGCAGGCCAAATTATTTGTGGATGACTTGTGGTTCACTTGTTTCAATGTGGTGTCCACGTCCGTATTTATTCTAATTACGCATTCCTGAGCCGGGGGTGAATTCTATGCTGCTCAATGTGATTGAACAGTCTCTGCAGCCCAAAGGTTAGTGTGGACCTGCAGTCCTTAGCCGTGAGGATGGGCAAGTTCTTGAGCGGCGGCTCGTAGTGGATACTGACGTCGTCTATCACCACATGGTTGGGTTGGGGGCTGAGCAATGGACTGGACCATGACCGGAGGTGGATACCAGAGAGGTGCACCGTTTCATTAGGGCAGGCTGCAACAGACAGAAGCCCCAAGCTCAAGGGACAGTGACCTGTTGTGTTCAAAGCTGCACCAGTTTCCATTTGAAGAGTTCTGTTTGAGCACTCACTCGAGCAGCCACTGTTCTGCAACTTCACTGCATGGCCACCCTTGACATTTTCCATGAGAAAGGCGGACCCGGGGTGGATGTGCAAGCAGTCTGCTACCAACACTGCAGAGCTGTCATTCCCTTCGACATCGCGTACCACGAACTGGGACTGAGATGTCAGAAGTGCTCGGCCCTTCATGAAACCTCCGCTGCCTACCCGTGTGGTGGTGGAATCTCTGACGAACATCCATCCACTGTGTACTTCCAGACCACCATCGATTGCAAAACCAGCACCCACTGTCCCAGCTCTGGCATGCTGAATGCTGACGGTTGAGCTGTTGATCACGACATGGCCTCCTGCATAAGCACCTCCACCACTTCCTCCGGCGGTTGTGTTACTGATGAAAATGGCTGATCTCCCCGTCACCTGCAAACCTCTTCTAAGTGCAAAGCCTCCACCATGTCCAGAGACAGCTTGGCTGTTTGAAATGTTCACGTTTGACATCCCTGCAATCACAACGTCTTGGTTTGCAGCAAAACCTCCACCAGCGTGCCCAGCTCTGGCATGCTGAATGATGACTGAGGAGCGGTTGATCACTTGCAAGCGTCCCTCTGCGCGGAAGCCTCCACCATCAGCTCGCGACACTGCGTTGGAAATGCTCAGATTCGACATCTCAGCAATCAGAAAGTCTTTGAAGGCTAGGATGCCTCCACAATATTTCCCAGCTCTAGCATGCCGAACGCTGACTGTGGAGCTGTTGAGTACCACAATGCCTCGTGCATAGGCAGCTCCTCCATCTCCTCCGGCTGTCACATTCTCAATGACAATTTCTGATCTCCCCTTCACCTGCAAACCTTTTGCAAGTGCAAAGCCTCCACCATGTCCGGAG